GGATTTCAATGTTCATTGTGGCGTGCATTATTTAGATTTTGATAGATGTGTGTGAATTACATGCACGTGAATTATATGCAAAGATTTAATACTGGGCGAAAATGGATGTCCCATTGCTATGGAGAGAATTGTGCACCGTCGCTTGGTAAGTGCAATAGAAATCATAAGATTCTCAGTAATTGTATAGTGTCACTGCGTAACTCCTTGATTGTATATATTGTCAGTAATGTGAATAGAGCTACATCCACTCTTGCAATCAGGAACGTAGCTAACTCATTTTGCATGTAGCGATGCAGTAACTCCTTGAAGACTTCTTCAGGTTTGGCGCAGACTAATTGAACAATAGAGTTTAGGTGTCTGCCGACTTCCAATGCTATGTCAGCATCTTCGGTTTCCACAACATCGTAGCTGGCATGTGGGCTGATGATAGCTTTAAGCCACAGATCGTACAACGTGGCATTCCTTTCCAGTTGCGTTGTGGTGTCACTTAGTACTGCTGCACCCAGTGTTGCGAATCTATGCTGAGTGAGAAGCTGCACACATTCCTTTTCAATGGCCAGGAAGAAGTTGAAAGCAGCATCAGTTATATGGGTAAGGAAGTGCCGGGGCATCTGTCTTTGCTCAGTTGCCATGAGTGTATCGACTTGTGCAGACTCAGTAGATAAAGTGTGGTACTGTGCAGTGAGTGCCTCTATTATGCTGATTTTTGTCTCTATTTCCGAACTTAGCTGTTTGCTGGTGTACATATGGGTTTGATACATTGATTTTAATTTTGTTCTCAATTTAGCCACACATCTCCCACCACAGTAACGAACTTTACCCTGTGAGGTGATACTGACATGGGTCGAGCAGTGTCCTTCAACATCTCCTGTTCCCCTCGGAACTGCCATCTCTTCCCAATATCTTCAGCTCGATGCCCTGTCAGCATATCATGCCTAGCCTGCCATGAAACGGTTTTAGCTCTTCAATACCTAACAGGTTCCGCCACCTTGCTAGTTCGGGCTTGCTTGTAATTAGTGCATGCCATTGCCTTTGAAAGTTGGTGATATCCTTTGGTTGCATGAGTCGCTCCGAAGCAAACTGAGGTGCGGTTTTTCTAAATTTTGTATAATGAGCATGCATAAAAGCAAGTGTATTTTCAAATTTTCCGGCACTTCCTAACCAAGCAAATAGATCCTTTATGTCCTTTTCAGTGCTAGATTCTTGGAGCTGTACTAATAATGACTGCCATCTGGGTGAGTCAGGAGATGGGTCAGTTTGCTGTAGCCTCCTTTTCTATTTGTATGACCTGCACAGTTCCGCTTCCGTGAACGAATCTGTGCTGTCATCGTCACTCTCTATGTTGATAGGGTCATCTATGTCTGGCGACTCTGAGGATTTCTCTGATAGATGGATTTGCTTGTTTGTGCAGCACGAGTGGTCGTCTACATCCTCGGCTGTTGTGAGTCCGGAATAGTAGGCCTGCACTGTGGCATTTTGTTTGATGAGCTCTACTGGGCTATAGTGCAATACCCGCAGTCCATCTAGTGATCGGGCACCTGCTTATGGCGACTGCAAGTTGGCCTGGCTGACATGTGTCGGCAATCCACCTCAACATAACTTAGTGACATTCCTTGTGCCTTATGGATGGTGAGTGCGTATGACAATTTTAGAGGTAATTGCCTTCGATACGCAAAGCTGTCACCAACATTATGCGAGAATGTGGATTTGCCAATTTCCGCTTTTCTCCCGAAGCTCTCAAAGAAGACTTCAACGGAGTCATCCATCATAGCAGTAACTGTGCCTTGAAGACCATTCACAAGGTGGTCACTGATATTTTTTAATAACATCACCTTGGCACCGACTTTAAGGGCTATGGTCTTCTCGGCTTGAAACTGGGCACGTAAGTGCTTGTCTCCACTGTCGGTGCAATGGTACAGTGCTTGCTTTCCTGGCAAACTGTGGAGGACCTCAGCATTGTGTACGGTGGCATCAAACCTGCGTGCACAGAGCCTTGCTATGCTGGTGATCGGCTGAGGAAGAGGTCTCCTTAGTGTTCTCATGAGTGCGTTGCAGTCAACACTTGCCAAGCCTTCGGCTATTTCTCCTATAGCCACCATGAGGGTGTTTTCGTGGTGGCGTTTGCTGCCCTTCAGCTGCACGGTGTGTCCGAAGAGTTCATTCCACAGCTCGCTTGTAAACGCATAACTGAAAATGTGTAAAACATTGCCATGTATGTATGTATAACTTTTCAGTATAGGTAATTGTCAATTCGTTCGAGTTTGATTTACATGTAGTTGGTATAACGCGAATACCAAGAGACAGATGTTTTTTTATTTACGCAATTTCAATTCACGTGACCGTTTTCATGAAGGGCGTACCTATCGCGGAAGTTGAGAGTTAGGGGCCTACCTGTATATTTAAATTGTAGAAACCGTTTTAATAACCGAGAGATATTTTTAGTAATAAAACCGATGCTATAAATTATTCATTAATACTGGTTTAATTAATATGACTATTTCGGTTATTTATGAGGTATCATTACACTGTCAATTATTACAAACAAGTTAACCTGCTATTACATACCTGCCATCGTCGTACAAATTTGGGACGGGTGGCAATTGCTGAAAGTCTCCAGACCACAAGCAACTGCACTCCACAAATGCTAGGTTGTTGCCTTTGATTTTTCGGGCAACGTACTCGAGCGTTTCAAGTACCCTAGCACTCATCATTGAGATTTCGTCGATGATGAGAAGCTGGACGTTATCGCCAGCGTTGATATGCATTTTGTTGACGTCATCGTTTTCAATGCTCTGCAAGATTGATGTTGCGGACTTCTTGCAATCACCAATGGAGGCCCATGAGTGAATGGTTTTCCCATTGCTAAGATGAGTGCTGCCAATTCCAGTTGTACTGGTGACAACAACTCTACCATCAGCAATGTCATTAATTTTTTCCAATGAAACGGTTGATGAGATTACGTTACCGTCCTGGTCCACCTAGTAAGGCGAAAGAGTGTCCAGAATTGATCAATCGAAGAGCCTCGCGTTGTTCTTTAGTAAGTCTGTCCATGGTTTTACAGGTAAATTATAAAAGAGTGATGAGAAATTACTTAGAAGTTGGAAAAATGTGCACTGCATAAGGAGTTGGTCCACAGGCTACGTACTGCATGTTGTTGTCAACACGCTGTTGCCGTAACAACGGAAAACACATATAACAAGAAGCATTTACATAATTTATGTATTACTATACTTGTTTATTTATCCATTTCATTATTTATAATATTATTATTAAATATTTATTACATATAATTCACGATTTTACTACACATATCTATCATAATCATAATATCAGGAGCGTATAATGACAAATATATGTAACGAAGTTGTTTACGTTACTATACAGTTGTGGATTATTATGTCATATGTGTAGCCAAAAGACATAGACAAAGACAAGTCAGAGAATATATACCATAACTGATGTTGCTTTTAATTTCGTTCACTACACGGTTACAAATATACAGGCGGTCGCGTCTGGAGTCGGGAGCGAATTCCCCGATTTCTACTCGCGCATCCGTTTATATAGGCGTCGCCACGCGCGCGGTGCATGCTCAGCCACGTGCCGCGTGCGCCAATCACCGCGTCCGTCTCATCCGCGTTCGGTTGGCTCGAACGTTTACTATGTTCTCTTATAGATGGCAGGGGCTATACGCTTAGCAATTCAACAGCGTCATTGTATAAACCCCAGTAGTAGATGACATAATTTATACAATACTTTACTGTTGTTTGGAACGTTATTTTGGGAGTTTTTGGGACTGAGGTAATGTTTTTAGTTCACCTCGCCAAAGGGCGTTTGACCGCCGTGTGTTGTGAAGTTGTTTTTATGTCTGAAAGTTGTGATTGATTTGATAATCACGGGTGATAGATTCCGGTGTTGTTTTGATGTCTGAGAGTAAGTTTATATCTATATTATACTACCCACTAATTTAAATATTGTATAGCTAGTTAAACCTGCCAAAAACATTTTGTGTAATAGGTGACTAAGCCGTAAAAACGCGAAAATCTCAGCACAGGGTGGTAGGTGCATTGTTAAACATGCAGCGTTGAACGTGTTAAACAGTGTGCACCGTGAAGCGTTGAAGCATGTACTTCTCTATATACACAAATATCTATGTCATAAGGTGTCTATATCACTTTTTTTTAAATTGACGAGGTAGCTGAATATTTGAGATATTATTAGTATGGTTTTTTACACACCTGTTATTACACATCTTGCACTTCGAGCAGATGAAGGGGATGAAATTTATATCTGTATTAAAATTTATATTTAAATTTATATTAAAATTAAAATTTAAAAATTTAAAAATAAAATTAAAATTAAAAAATATAAATTTAATGTTTGTATTAAAATAAAAATTTAAAAATAAAAATTTAAAATAAAAATTTAAAATAAAAATTAATGTTTGTATTAAAATTGCATTTAAATTCATATTTAAATTTATGATTGTCATCAAATATATATATATATACATATATATATATATATATAGTATATATATATAATCGCACAATTGTTATATCCACACGGCCGCCGTGCGTATAGTCACTTCGGGTAAAAACAGCACAAGTTACAGGTTCTACAATATTTCCACAAAAATGTTGTTACCATGGCAACGATGACTCCGCCCACACCAAAAACGATTGGCGTATTTGCTTTACCATAACGCTCCTTCATGCCAAATTTGAAGATGATCCGAGATCGGGTAAAAACTGCCCACCAGGTCACTGCGACCTTTATTTCACCTTTACCTTGATCATATTTCCCTTCCGCTCGCTAACTCAGCCCCTAATTCACCTAGCGCGACCAAACTTGGTATGCTTACACATCTTGGGGAGAAGGTCTGTCGCATACCAAAACCACCACTGCCCTTGACCTTAGTTTTACCTTGACCGTCGACTTACATTTCCTCTTCGGCCTCCTAGGGTAACCAGATTCCATATACTTGTACATCTGAGGCAGACCAGTTGTCTAACAAACCTTTGTCTTTGGGACTTATTTAACTTTACCTGCCTTCTACGTCCTTACAGAGATATTCCATTCATACTAGATCACGGGGGATACATGTAGTTGGCGACAACTGCTCGTTTCTAGTTTACACTTTAATTACGCATATAAATTATACTACGTTAATAATAATACTAAGAAATAATAGCAATATACATATTTATACATACCGGTATTGCATAATCTGACCTGTACAATGACAGGTGGACAAGGTAAGTTTTTGTCTTCATAGTTACCAGTACAAATGGATTTTCTAGTAACTGTGGTAGGGCCTTTTGAGGGAAAGCAATTTGCTAGTAAGGTGACCATTTTGTTGTCAAACCAGACTGTACAGACTAAATCTTTGTCAATGCCATAATGATAGTCACCTTGCTTCGTTGCTTTCAAAAGAGTTATCTTTCAATTCCTTTGGACAAAGCTTCCTATTAGCTCGTAATGTACCAACTGCATATAGGCCATGCCTGTACAAGTCGTCAAACAACTCAACTGATGAAAAGAAATTGTCCATATAGACAATACGATTAGTGCCATCTAGGTCCCCTAACATCAAATCAGTCACAGCACGGTGGGCTAATCTAATTTCACCAGTACCTTCCTTTCCAACATAGATTTGAAAATCGTACACGTAACCTGTGTTAGAGCAGGCTACACACCAAATATTTGACCCACGTTTTATGGGTTTGTTTGGAAGGTATTGCTTTATTGGATTACGCCCTTTTCCTTTGACCAAAGCTTCGTCTACAGAGATATGTTGAGAAGGCACAAAATTTGATTTGAATGACTCTTTCAGTTTTGTTATAACATGTCTGAACTTATAAAGTTTATCAAAATTAGGACTGTCTTTAGCTGGTATTGTTTCATTATCAGCTAAATGAATGTTTGACCAAATTGCCCAGAAACGGTTGCGAGTAAAGATTTTCTGGAATGCAACGACACCAAGCACCCAGTCATCACTAAAATAGTTCTTGATTCTGGGCAATCTGTGAATAGCCCTGGCAAGTAATAGACCAAGAAAAGCTTTTAGCTCACATACAGTCAAATCTATCCAGTCCTGTACCCCTTTTTGATGGGCATACTTGTTTGATTCTCTCATAATAGTATCCAATAGATCGAGTGGAAACAGTTTTTTGAATGTTTTTATAGGCCGGCTAATATCCTCTTCAACCAGTTGAAAAGTTGGCACAGGTTCATCACCTGAATACACAGGAGGCTTTGCATCCTGTCCACCACAGTCTATCTTCTGCCAGGAGCCATGATATCTTATAGCTTGATAATTAGGCCGAGCTCCAGCTCTAGCCGGCCTTTGACGAGCTGGGGGTCTAGCAGTCTCATCATCATCGCTACTTGAACTGAACTGATTTTCCTCACTCTCATTTTCATGACTGTCACCATTGACATCAGTACTAGTACTACTACTGCTGTCATCACCAGGAAAGTCGTAGTCTTCATTGTCCGGTTCAGAGGCAAATTCACCGTCACTAACATAGTCTACATCACTTTCTAAATCGCTTGGAGCCAAATATCAAATATCAAATATCGCCTTTGATCAAATATCAGCCGTAGTGTTTCCTCAGCTGTGAATCGCACTTTGGAGCTCATCATTCTGTTGAAATTCAGCAAAATTTCATTGTAAATCCGCTCAACACGCTAACTATAGGCGCAGCCATCGTTGGAACATTCCACAGCTGAGCGGGACAGTGTAAAACACAATTGAAAATGGTAAAAATAAATCCTCAAATAATGATCAGCTGATTGACCAAAACAGTGTTAGTTCAGAAATTTGAAAGGTAACCTAAATGTTTATAAAAAAGCGATATTGTTTTAAAAAGATAACTAAGTCATAAAATACGTATTTGCAGGTATTTGCAAAAGCCGAAACAAGGCATAGGGTGTCTGTGAGCCAAGATATGATGAAATAAAGATCGTGACGTCAGACCACGCCAAATGGCGCGTTCGGGACTCAAAGGGTTAATTGAGTGGCTAATCTAGCCTGACATAAAGTACGGGAGAATAATAAACCACTAGACAGCGGTAAACACTTAAGCAAGGTAACAATCATTTTCAAGTAGAATAGTTCACGTGCGAGTTGCTAGTGTTCGTCAATAGTTCAAAGGTTGAATTAGACCAGTTGGGCTTCCAGGAGGCAGAGCTTGTCTACGTGGCGAGTGTAGACTCCTAACTGAGACCGACGACTGAGTCTTCACCTCCGCAGACCGAACGAGTCCATCCTTTCCTGGGAATGATTGGGTAACGAGACCCAGCGGCCACTGACCGCGGGGGGAGTTCTCATACCTCACTAGCACGAGATCCCCTTGTTGAATTTTTACTGACTGGCTTTAGCCACTTCTGACGCTCCTGGAGTGCCTGCAGGTATTCTTTCACCCATCGTGTCCAGAAGACGTGCGCCAGGTACTGGACTTGGCGCCAGCGTCGCCGATAAAGATCTTGTTTGCAAACAGTCCAGGCGGGAGCTACGGCCCAGAACATAGGAGGAGGTGGTTGGGTGTGAGTGGCAGCGGGTCGGCGGGGTCGTCTGGGAGCTTAGTGATCGGGCGGCCGTTGACAATGCTCTCCATCACACACATCATGGTGGCCAGTGACTCGTCGTCCAAAGTCTGCTGTCCGAGTAGGGTGATTAACACCGAGCGGACCGTACGAATCTGCCGCTCCCACACGCCACCCATGTGAGAGGCGGCGGGTGGATTGAAAACCCACTGGATTTCTTGTTGTAAGAGATGGCCTTTGATCGTCGCCTGATTCCATCCGGCGATGGCTTCACTCAACTCCCGTTTCCCTCCAATGAAGTTGGTGCCATTGTCAGAGCGGATCGCGGCAGGCGGTCCACGGCGGGCAATGAAACACTGGAGTCCGTTGATGAACGAGGTGGTCTCCAGGCTGTTGCAACCTCTATGTTGATAGCCCTGGTCGCGAGGCAGGTAAATAGGCACCTGTACCTCTTGTGTTCGGAGCGTACGCTTCTGACGATGAAAGGGCCAAAGAAGTCGACACCAGCACGGGTGAAGGGCGGTTCGCCAGACGTCACGCGATCCTTTGGTAGGTCGGCCATCATCTGGGACTGGGGGAGAGCCTTACGCTTGCGGCAACTCATACACTCTCGTAGTGCACACTTGGCAGCCACGCGGCCCTTGTCTATCCAGAATTTCTGGCGGAGCTCGGCCAGAATGCGCTCGGCACCGGCGTGTCCGTAGACATGGTAGTGTTTGATGATTAGTTCGGTGATTTTGTTAGTGTTCGGTAAGATGGCCGGATGTTTGGCCTGGTCAGGGATGTCAGCATTTGTAAGCAGACCGCCAACGCGCAGGACACCATCTCCATCCCCAGAAGGGGACAGCTTGCCAAACCAAGTTGTTTTTGCTGGATGGCAGTGAAGGACGAGACTTGCACCTGGCGAAGGATGGCCGCCTCAGCCGCTCGCAGCTCTTCCACTGTCAAGGAGTCCTGCTTGCTAGACTTGGCTCCTCGAAAGGCGGCCATGGCTCACAGCAGCCAGGCCACTGCCTTCCTTAGCAGGTACCAGGAAGAGTACTTCTCCACGAGATCGTCGTATATATGTGACTGTTAAGTAGTCGTTAGGTAGATGAGCGCCTCTTTCTTAACCTCCGCAGCAGGGTGCAGTGGGATCTGGCTGTAGCTGGGCTGGGTGGGCCATGCTTCCTCCTCCATCCATAAGAAGGGTGGCCCTTTAACCTAGCGACTACTGCCAACATGCTCTTGGGCAGTCATCCCGTGGGAGACGTCATCGGCAGGGTTAGTGTTAGTGTCCACATGTCCATTGTGATGGTTCAGAGTGATCGTGAATCTGGGAGACACGGTTGGCAACGAATGTCTGGAACCTGCATTCGCTGTTCCGGAGGTACTGTAAGACGATCATGCTGTCAGTCCAGTAGATGGACTCCAACAGCTGGTAACCGAGGTGCTCCCTGATGCACTTGTCCAGCTTAACCGAGACCACGGCTGCGGTGATCTCAAGGCGTGGGATGCTTGTAACCTTAAGGGGAACCAGTTTCGCCTTGGCCATGACCAGTGTGCACTGGACCTTCCCATCCGGCTGCACGATGCGGAAGTACGATACGGCTCCAAAGCCCGTCTCGGAGGCGTCCGAGAAGTGATGCAGCTGGTAGGTACTTTGTCGTTTGTCGTTTTCAGCATTTGGTTTGAGGCATCGGGAAACCCGGAGTTCCGCGATCCTCGGGAGGTCCACCTGCCACCGATTCCACTGTTCCAGGACTTCCGGCGGCAAGGGTTCATCCCATCCGTTCTTCAAGCGGCAGAGTGTCTGGAACAGCCTCTTTGCATTCAAGACAAAGGGAGAGGCAAATCCAAGAGGATCGTACACCAAGCTGGTGACGCTCAGGAGCCCCCTCTTAGTATTAGGCTTTCCCTGCACGTGAACATCAAACGAGAACTCGTCCGATTCCACTCTCCACGTGTTACCCAGAACACGCTCGGACGGCAGTTTATCTAGGTTGAGGAGCCGGTGTGATGGTGGATATAGAAGCGGTAGCTGGCTGTGGCCTAGAAAACATCTTTCCAACCATCTCGGGAAGAACTGCCGCCTTGAAAAATGTCTCTGCCTTGAGCTCAACCGACAGCCAGAACTCCTCGTCAGGTTCAATCCTCTCAATATGCAGAGCTCCCTCCGTCCAAACAACAAAGTCACAATAGTCCTTGTTACACACAAACAGTTGTGTCTGCACCTGATAATGGTAGGCATGAGTACGCTTTAATTGAAGTTTTCCTTCCTCGTCTACCTTCTCTAAACAAAAACGACTGTCTATCTCCGCGAAATCCTTCCTACACGGGCACTTCACCTCCACACACCCATCACCACAGCAATCGCACGAAACCAGGGAATCTTGTGTGGCTCCCATGAATGGATAGGCAGGATTCATAACAAGTCCACTGTTTGTGAGTTGATGATTTTCATGAGACTGACGCATCTGATCAGCATATGTTGAAAGCGCTGTCTTCTCATGGTCACAACCCCAACGTATACCTGCCGTGTGAAGTTTTGATGTATGGGGGTAACAAATTGCCTTAACAAGGCTCTGTGATGGCTTGTCCATTCTCGTATGGCAAACTGCCTTCATACGCGAAGCTGTCACTCGCCCTGTTCTAAATCGATGCCATTGTTTGCTCTCGGCTTGACGTCTGGTTTCGGCCTCAACCTGTTCTGCCTGCGATGCACTTACACTTATCTCGTTGAACACTTTATCTGTGCAATGCTGTACAAGTTCCGAAGGGGACATACCCACACACTGTTCGTCAAAATATTCAGATATAAGCAGAGGGAATTTATCGCCGAGTGAAGTAGGAACAAAATGCTGGGCGTATGTTGGCTTGAGAGTTAGGATAACGGATCTAGTCTGACCTTTAAACAAAGTTTCTAGCACGGCTGTACATTCATTGTCAGTTGGATCTGGCACATCAGGTAAAAGAAGCATCTATCGTTTTGGAGTAAGTGGTGATTTTCCCGTTAGGTTCTCATCCAACTTTCTCTTTTTCGCTTTAGCGGATGTGAAGTCTATATCCTCAACAGCGTTGTAACCAACCTTCTGAATAACAGTGGGTAATAGCCAGTATGCAGGCTCCTGTGTAACAGTTTTAGAATTTCGGACCCTAACTGCTGCATCCATCCAGAAAAGTAGATCCCCAACGTGACTGCATGCCTCGCTTAATCCGGCCATGCAGTTGCAATGAGCATCTAGGATGGAACCGTCCAACTCAGATACGATCCATGGGTGAAAAGGTGTCGCATTCATTCGCTGGGAATGACGAACCTGTAAAATATGAAGATAAAAAAATCAAATACTAAGTATATTAAATAAATAGCGTATTTTTTGTATGAATGATAGAGTCCGCTTGTAGGACAGGTATCTCTCAGACACAACACATAATATTAACATAATAATTGACACTGTTTTACAAATTACAATTTACAAATTATTTGCAAAATACAGATACATTTATGTTAATTAGTAACATGCAGTACATCATGATTTCATAACCATAATTTGTGGCAGGTACACAAGACGACAGCCTAACAGGCAGGGGTCAATTTACAAATAATTTGGATAGTACTTGAAACCGCCAGTGACTCGTTATTTATGGTCGTATATATCGATAGCACTGCCACATGGCCGCGTTACCTGAGCTGATGACCAGCTGATTGCATTGATTCATTGGAAATCGAACTTACCCTGGCACTTAACACCACTTTGTTGTTTGATGTTAGATGTACGACATCCTTCACCCATCCACAGACAAACTGATTATACGAATCTAGTGCCTTGTATGCCTTCAGATCGGCCAGGGAGTACGCAGATTGTGAGTAAACAAGGTAGTTCACAATGTCGGGGTAGGCAATTCCAGGTAAGTTTCTGTGGTCAGCCGACCAATCCTTCTTCGGCACCTCGTATGGATCTAAACCACTGATCAGTTCCAGTTTTGCGTCATAACGTGTCCTGGCTGTCTTGTCTAACGTCTCAATATACCGGGGCTTCTTTGGTTTTGGTGGTTTCTCAGACACTCTGAGAGTTCCGGATCCTTAAGTTGCAATTTGAATTTCACACATTCACTGCAAACATCTTTTGCAGGGTGCCCAAAGCCGAGATTGAAATTATACACGAACACACTGTAGTAAAATGCGTAGGTGATTTGAGCATCATTTTGCTCCTTAAACATCTGATGCATTTTTTTCACGTCTAAATCAACAGGCAGGTATTTACGGCCTACCCATAAATCTCTTAACGTGGTCCTGCACAATTTTCCTCTTGGCTGCATTTTCTTCGACTTTGCGCGCACCGCCACGATTTTCAGGCCTCGTGATTCCCCTTCTCAAACCAGTACTTAGCAATATTCGTAAGACGATCCTTCTTGACACCTGAAATGGCAAAGTGAATGGGAGTATGAGCGAAGCGGTGGAATTTTTACATAAGAGGTGAAAATGTAACATTTTTCTTCCCAAAGGTAATCCAGATATGGTGTAAAAAGTGGTGTCCTAAAACTATTGAACAAGACTGTACCGGTACATGTGACAAAGAGTTACCCCCCCATCGGCAAAGTAATGTTATTCCGTGAAAAAAAACAAGCTACTGGAGAGAAAACAGCCATATCTTCACACGTTTATTAAAAAAGTACCTATGAAAACTACACTAAGCTAGTACACTTAGCTTGTACCTTTAAATTCTATTCAGACAGACATGACAGACCCACACTCTACTGTGCTTCATGCCTGCAACTGTAGAAGAATAAAATACTTACAAAAATGCGCATGAATGACTTCTTCCACACTGGTAGTTTCACCTTGTTTTCATCCAGAATGAAGTAGTCGACCGACATTTCCCTGCCCTTTTGCTTGACAGGATCCTGAACTTTCTGCCTCCTACGCTGAACTTTTTTGATATCCATGTAGGATAACAGTATGGCATCTTGTTTCACCTTATCAGTTGTCGAATACAGGAGATTAAACAAACGAGTCAGTTCGTTTTCCGAGACAGTAGTGGCCACACACATACCCTGTACATTATGTACACAAGCAATAGATGGGACTTTTCCGAGCGCACTGTGTCTACCTTTCTTGCTCACAGACCGCACTGATTCATCAGGACAGTGTCTCTTTTTGCGCCCAGTAGGTGAGAGCACAACATGCTCATTAATATCATCAAAATTATTCGTTATGGACGCTTAAAGTCAACGATTTGTGCTCTAAAATCGGCCTCAACGCAATGTCAAGAGAGCAAAGGCGCTGCCATGTTGGATGACGTAGGCTAAATCTGATGCGCAGATTGGTCTGAGATGGAGTTATCGGCTGTTGCTAAAAAAAGCGTGGCGCATGTCGGCTTATGCAGTAAAACGTTATATTTAACTGTGAAATGTGAAGGATATAGCGGTATTTGCGAAGAAATGTATTTAACCTTCAGATGGAGAATGGTGTAAGCTATTTTGTGGTACACTTAAATCAATATTTTTGGCAATGGCGTTTATCGGTTTTTCCGCCTGAACTCTTCATATATAGTCAGGGATATAAATAACAAATCTGTCAATACAAATCTGAACAATTTGACATTATCGGTAACAGTGCCTGAAATGGACGGTCGCCCACTCGCCACAGGCGACCAATGTCTAGCTCGGGCGAACGAAAATTGCACAAGTGAAGTAGTCACTCGCCCCACCAAAAAAGCTTGGGCGACTGCCAATATTTCAACACATAAACAAATTTACTGATATGTTTGAGTTGTTCTTTGTTTACTAACTAATCATAATCCTAAACCGGAGTCCACGGTAGGATACAATCAGACCAAGCTCGCGCATTTTCGTTCCAACCGAGCTTGCTGACTGCGGGGTAGACTGGTAGTCTTCGACTCTCCCACTACAATGCAAACGTACATGTCTAGATGCGTTGTCTGGCTAGCTTGATACAATGTATAACATCACATTTATGTACATGTAATGCTGACCTGAGCCCACCCTGATCGGCCACGCTTGCTTATACTTTTTATACCGTACGCTTGTATGCTATGCCTGCTGTATAACGCTAGTGTGGCATAGTGGATACATTATGGATACATTATGCTAGCAGTGAGACCGGTGAGAATCAGGGTGCCTAGCTGAGCCCGCTCAGATCACGCGCACTCGCTCTATGCCCACTCGCTCAGATGCGCTGCTGTATAAAATTTGGGCCTCCAACAATGCATTTGGGCCAGTGACTAAAAAAAATTACTCGCCCCCAATAAGATTTTGGGCCAACCTTCGGCTGGCCCCCATTTCAAGCACTGTCTACCCCTGATATAATAAAGTTGCACAGAACGCAATGTGTCTTCTCTGCCCATATAATACGGACCCTTGCAGATGGTAATGAGTACTTTTCCACAAAGAATGGAGGAAAGAATATGGTTTGTGTGAGGAAGGCATTCCGGAGGCTCTTAGGAGGGTCAGCTAAGAAACAGAGCTTCTCAGTGTTCTCTGCAGGATATGGATGCGGCGCAGATGGCTTGGTTTCCTGCCTGTTAGAGGTATAATTGACTGATAGAGAAACAGATAGAAGAACTGGTAATAGACTATAAAATGTAGTAAAATATCTATAACACTTTTTTAAATAGATTATTTATTAAATTAGTAAGAAATAAATGTTATGTATATAAATTATATATATAAATGTTAAATTTTTGAAAATGAAGAATGTAATTTAGAAAATGCAATAAGCAATGATGATGCAATTTAAACAAACCTGTTGCATCTAACACCAGCCGCAGTCCACATGCCTCTATTGCAGCCACCCATGTCACATACTACTGCCTTCACCTTAAAACCAATCGACGATAACTGGCAGATGATGGACGAGGTTACTTGCCACAACTTCAGCCCCTTCACAGACTTGCCAGTGTAGTAGTATGCTGAAATGACAGAAAATAAAATAACACTTGTATAAAAAAATTAAACTTGCTCGAAAATAAACTTTATCCTTTAAATAATTAAGACGTTATATTTTATGAGATTTCAATAGAGCATGTATATCATGTACACCTCTAGCAGAAATTGAACATACCCGAAGGACAATAGCTATTAAAGTAGTTAAATGTAACAACAACATGTGATTGGCATGACATATTGGAAAAAAGTGTAATATGTGTGAACATTTGCATACATAAATCATAGTCAGATTTATTTGCATTTCTAGAAAATTCATCAGCTACAAAGCCAAGGTATATCATACTCAAGGCACTTGCGGATCTCAACAGCATCAAGTGCTAGCACACAGTCACATTCTTGTGGCTCCATGGTAGAGGTTTTTACCTCAAGCCAATACAGGACAGTCCTCTGAATGCCTGGATGCATGTCAAAATGTGAGACCCTACTGCAAATTGAACGGTATGAAGGCAGTGGAAAATTCTGTTTTCTAAGAAACTCGTATCCTTTCACACCAGTTGCACATCTAATCTGAAGGCTCTTTTTAATGGTATCTCCAGACCAGTTCATGCCAGTAGAACGTGGAGGCAGTTCTAGAGACAGTTGTTTATCTGATCTTCGGTCAGAAATCTGTCTAGGTTTTTGTTGTTCTCATACAGGGTTGTCAGACCACTGTGGTCAAAGCAGTTTCCTGTAAAATGATCTGAACATTCGATGGACACCACTTGTCTCTCTTCATGTTTACAAGCCATTTGCTTAGCAAGGCAGGGCGGCCAAAAGGGAACCTAAAACAAGCAAAATGTAACATTTCCCTTTATTTAATTCATCATTTCGCTTTTAGTTACTGTATACGCTGTATATTTCACGGTGGTTTAATTTTCGCAGCTGAAATCCATTTGAAACCTCGTTAAGAACTGGGAACTTGAGTGGCGTAGGCATGGTTGCTAAATGCCCCAAGATGTGGAAATGTTCCGTGGTCCGCGGAACGAATCATCAGTAGCCTGGGTTGACCCTCAGCCATCTACTGCTGTCCGGTGGAGATCGACGACGGGAAAGCCAGTCGTACAGTGAGTATCACACGCACACACCAAAATTACAATGTGGGGTAGCTAATTTGGTTTAGCTACATTTAATTTTACATCATGACAACAATACAACTTTTTACAAGTACCTAGCTCCAAGAAACGGTCTTGCTAGGGTTAGAAGATAGACAATCGGTTGCACAGCCTTGTCGGCCTTAGTACAAGTACCTAGCGATCGAGGGTACAGACCTTTGCTAACGCACACAACATACCCAGCACGGCGCAGGGGCTATGTCCGCGAGCGACACGAGGAACACGTTACACAGGCTGGTTCGCCACACAAAACATAACAAAATTACAATACACCTGTAGCCTGTACAGTGTACTCGCAGCTAGGGCCTGCATACCTCCCAACGTCCCATTGGTTGATACAAATCTAGTTAATTTTGTAAATTAAATTGTAATT